GGCCACTAATCTTGGAGTGGCCAGTGACTAAGCTCCCTCTTCTCAGGCGGAAGCTGGCCCCCATGATGCCTTGTTCAAGGTGGCTAAACAAGAAAAGGACTTCATTCCGTGTCCACAACTCTTTTTGGATGTTCTCCAATTCCCGTGGGGTCAACCGGGGTCTTTAACCACACCCAGCAATCAGGATAAGAAGCTGTATTGCGCGGCCCCGGAGCTGGAGGCACTCCTTGAATTCTCGGCTGTTGATCCTCTGGTAGCCAATCTTGCTTCCTCGTCGGTCATCTCATCGGACCCCTTAGATGGTCTCAGATCCAAAGAACGGAGTGTGGAGCTCGCATTTCGTAAATCCCATCAGGCGGTGGCCTGGGCGATCAGGACTGCGACGGCTATCTCATTTTTCAACCGGGCATCACTGATATGGCTGCGACAATTGCAGGAATGGCTTCCCCCTGAGGAAACCCAATTACATCAAGATATTAACAAGATTGTCGCAGCCTCAGAATATTCTGCTGATGCTTCCTTGAACTCGGTGAAATTTGCCTCTCGGGCCCTCGCCTCTTCGGTCACACTTCGGAGGCTATTTTGGCTTCGTCATTGGAAAGCCAATGTCAAAACCAAGTGCAAACTCTCGACTGCTCCATACAAGGCTCCAAATTTATTTGGGGCAGCGCTGGACCCACTCCTCGTAGAGGACAAAGATAAGTGCAAAGTTTTGCCGTCTACTTTCCGCAGGCAGGACAGACGATATACGCCTTACTCACAACGGCACCCCTTTTGGACTTCCTCCAGGCTTGGGGGGTCCGTGTCTTACAGGTCTTCTGTCCAAGGAGTTGATTGATTTCCCGACAGGCAACACTTCCGTGACCAGGGCAGATCACTACAAGCTTCCAAGCAGCCGTTTCGTGGCTCTGGCTCCAATTTATTCAGATGAGGCAAATGACTCTCAGCTGTCGGCTCCCATAGGCGGTCGACTACAACTCTTTCACCGCCTGTTGGAGGTGTCGACGTCCGATGTGGGTCCGTCGGACCATCTCTCAAGGCTTATCCATCGAATTTACCGGATCCCCCCCAAGTCGCTTCTTACGGTGTCCCGTTTCCCGGTCGCCCAAGCTGCGCAGTCTCATGTCAGCAGAGATTGCGCACTTTCTCAACATCCAGGCGATAGAGCCCGTTTCCCGAAACCAAGAGGAGACCGGCTTCTACTCGGTGCTCTTTTTGGTGCCCAAGAGCTCGGGCGGCTACAGAGGGATCCTAAATCTGAAATAATTGAATCTTGCGGTCCGCTACTGCAGATTCAAAATGCACTCCCTCCGTTCGATCCTCTCGTCAGTGCGGCAGGGAGATCTGATACAGTCTGTGGAACTCCCCAAGGCCTACCTACACGTACTAGTGCATCCATTCCATCGATGGTTCCTGAGGTTCAAGTATGCATGCAGTCATTACCAATATTGTGCAATGCCCTTTGGGCTTTCCTCGGCACCCAGGACCTTCACCAAACTGGTGGCAGTGGTGGCGGCTACCCTTCGCTCAGTTCCGGTGAGAGTCTTGTGTTACCTGGACGACATCCTGGTCCTGTCGTCTTCCAGGGCCCAAGCCACGCGCGACATGGAGCAGGTTATCTCGACCTTCCAACGACACGGCTTTTCGATAAACTTGGACAAGAGTCAGTTGTTTCCTTCCACCAGCATCCTTCATCTCGGAGCTGTGATAGACTCCGCCAAGGGACAGATGTTTTTGTCGCAGGATAGGGTTCAGAGCATCACAGACTTGATCGGCCAAGTCCTTGCTCGCAGATCTGCTCCCCTCCTGACCCTGTCTCAGTTGTTAGGGAAAATGATGTCCTGCTTCAATATCGTACCTTGGGCACGCCAACACTCCCGCCCTTTACACTGGCTTCTTCTTCCCTTCCAGCGGCGGGGTTGCTGCAACTCAAAGAACAAGGTGTACTTACCTCCACAGGTTCGTCTCCAGCCCTTCGACAGGGCTGCTCCTTTCTCGAACAGTACCGGCTCGTACTGACCACAGACGCAAGTCTTCTGGGCTGGGGTGCCCACCTGGACAGTCAGGTGGCCCAGGGAACGTGGTCAACGATGGAGAGGCACCGCAGTATCAATTTGTTAGAACTTCGGGTGATCCGTCTGGCACTCCGTCATTTCCGCCATGTCTTGGAAGGGCGTCACATCCTGGTCCTCACAGACAACACGTCAGCCAAGGCGCATGTGAATCGGGAAGGGGGCACGAGATCCCAGTCCTTGATGCTCGAATCGGCGAGGCTCTTCAGCTGGGCAGAATGCTATTTTTTGTTGATCTGGGCGGACCACATCTCCGGGGCAGCCAACGTTCGGGCGGACTGGCTCAGCAGGGAGCAGATCGACCCGGCGGAATGGCAACTGCACCCTCGGCTGTTTCAAGAACTATCAGTCCACTTCGGGACACCAGTCGTCGACCTGTTCGCGAGTCCGTCCAACGCCCAGCTTCCTCGGTTCATATCCCGTTAACCAAACCCGATGGCGGAAGACCACAATGCTCTACGATGCCGCTGGCCCCCAGGCCTGTTGTACACATTTCCACCGATCCCGCTTATCCAACAGGTGGTCCGGAAGATGATTGTCTTCAAGGCCGATCTTATGCTAGTGGCCCCCTATTGGCCACGCCGCCCGTGGTTCGCCGACCTCATAGAGCTCTCCATCGAAAGTCCGTGGGTGATCCCTTCTCATCGAATCGCTCTATGTCAGGGGGCCATCTGTCATCCAGAGCCTCAGTGGCTCCAGTTGGCCGTCTGGCATTTAAGCGGGTCATCCTAAGGAACGCCTGTCGGACAGGGTGATTGGCACAATCCAGGCCTTTAGGAGGCCGTCCACGATGCGAATCTATGAGGCGTCTTGGAGGGCGTTTTGCACCTGGTGTTCCACACACCACGTGGACCCGACTTCGGCAGCTATTCAGGACATTCTGGATTTTCTTCAGGTGGGCTTGGACAAAGGTCTGGCCCCAGCCACCTTACGATGTCAGGCAGCGGCTCTGTCCACGGTGGTTTCCTGCCCACCTTATCAGTCTGTCAGGCTTCGGTGCTATCTTAAATAAATTTCATTCTCAAACGCAAAGTCTCTAATGAATCTCTTTTATTTAAGAATAGAAAAACCCGACATGCCTGAACTCTGGTTGCAGCCAAATTGGCCCCTCCTTCCAACACCCTCCTCTTCTGCTCTCCAACCCCAATGTCCCATTGGCCATCATGCAGATCCATCTCTTTGTCCCGGCACATTCTTTTCACGGGAATTTGCCCCCCCCGTCACCCAGGTAACACTATCTGTTGTATGCAGAAAACTAGGTAAAAGTTCATCTCAGCAATAAATCAACGCTTCTGCTCTCTGCTTCATTTCATTCATGTCAGCGCTGGAAGAGCCTAATTTGGAACGCTGACAGTGTTTGGAACGCTTGTCTCATCACCCTTGGGTGCGGGGGTTCCTGCATGGGGCCACGAATCTACGCCCCCCCACAGTACATCGATAGCCTTCCTGGGATCTTACACTCGTTCTGAGGCACTCACATCGCCACCGTTTGAACCTTTGGGTTCCATTTCGCTAATGTTTTTGTTGTTTAAGGCGGCTTTCCTCCTGGCTACTAAATCAGCCAGGAGGATTTCGGAGCTTGCCGCTTTATCCATTAGGAAGGACCTTTGCATTTTTCATGCAAACACGGTGGTTCTTCAGCTGGACCCATCTTTCACTCCAAAGGTGAATACCTGGTTTCACCGGGCCCAGGAGGTCATTCTGCCGGATTTTTGTCCATCGCCTAGACATCACCAAGAGGTTCTCTGGCACATGTTCGATGTTCGACGGGCTCTTCGTCATTATATTCGGCGAACAGCGTCTTTTCATAAGAGGGAGGCTCTTCTGGTCTCTTTTCATCCAGCCTCGATGGGACAAAAGATTTCTTCTTCCACGGTAGGCCGTTGGATTAAGGCATGTATTTCCTCGGCCTACAAAATGCAAGCGCGTCCCCCTCCAGGCAGGATTTTTCCACATTCTACCTGCAGTGCAGCTACCTCGGCAGCGTGGGCGACACAGGCCTCAGTGTCGGACATTTGCCGAGCGGCTATGTGGACCTCATTGTCACCCTTCATTCGCCATTATAAGATTGACACTTACGCCTCGGCCAAGGCGTCTTTTGGGCGACGTGTATTGCAAAGCGTTCATGTGGACGCAGCTTCTGGCCGCAGTCAGCCTCCCGCCCCTGGGATTTAGGCTTGGGTACGTTCCAGCTATGGAGTGTAGCTGCAGTGCTCTGGAAAATGGACGTTGTCTTACCTGAACGTCCATTTTCAGGGCACTGCGGCTACACTCCATTCCCTCCCTTTCTGTTGGGGCTTCCTGCTTTTTTCCTGTCGTTGCAGGTGTTGTTGTTCGAGTGCGTTTTCTTGGACTTAGTTGGACAATTTGCTGTGCTGCACCTTCGTGATTTAATATTTCACTCAGTTGCTGTCAAACATGAGGAAGAACCCAGCTATGGAGTGTAGCCGCAGTGCCCCGAAAATGGACGTTCAGGTAAGACAACGTCCGTTCTTTACATATAGCAACTGAATTTAGGTAGTTTGTATGTGACCCAAAACATTTGTGTTTGGCTCAGATACCAAAATGGGCTGTTTTGTCCTGAATTATGGATTGGAAGCAGAAGAGCAAGAAAAATTGAAGGACATTGGTGGAGGGAGAGGAGGGGGGAGGGGATGCAGCAGAGGGGAAAACATTCGGGAGATCAAAGGTGGCCAGCTGGCTATCACCCTGGGGTTTGATGTGTGGAGAGAAGTGGTGATATACCCCCGTTTTGTCTTGCATTCCCTGCACTCTCCAGGCTCTATGCAGATTTTGTATTGAATGGACCATCCAAAATGGTGATCAGTATTTCGGAGAAGTGGTTTTTTCCCCCAGTTGAACCAAATAGACAATGTACTGTATTGTCCAGGTTTTTGATTTTTTTTTTTTGTATTCCATAATTTGAAGCATTTTCCTGATGCTCCGCTAGGTGGCAGTATCTAGCTATCCTGGAGTGATATCGGAAAAATAGATTTGGATACATCTAGTACTTGGATGAAAGAATCCCAGAGCTACAGCACCTTCCTTTGTGGGACTTGATGGGGTACCTCAAGCGGATAACAGAGCTGTAAGTCATATTGCAAGTCAAACTACAAGGCAGTGGTGAGCAAATTCCATGCAATTGGCAAGAAAACCTCAGGCCTGGACCATGTGATCATTAGGAGCCAAGCTTGATGTGGAAATAATCTTTCCCCCCATCTAATTAATAAAAAAGTTATTGCTAAATTAATAAACATTGGGGGCAATACAATACTAAAAAATCTTGAACAGCATTTTAAAAAATCTGTACGTTGACAAAATTTCCATCTGTCAATTACCAAGGAGCACACTGCTTGGATCCACATTTACAGGTAGTCCTTGACTTACAATAGTTCACTTAGTGACCATTCGAAGTTACAACGGCACTGAAAAAAGTATCTTATGACCATTTTTCAGACTTATGACCATTACAGCATCCCCATAGTCATGTGATTTACATTCAGATGCTTGACAGCTAACTCACATTTATGATAATTACACTGTCTGAGGTCATGTGACCATCTTTTGCCACATTCTGACAAGCAAAGTCAATGGGGAAGCCAAATTCACTTAACAACCAAGTTACTAATTTAAGAACTCCAGCGATTCACTTAACAAACGTGGCAAGAAAAGTTGTAAAATGGGGCAAAACTCACTTAACACATTTCTCACTTAGCAACATGAATTTTGAGCTCAATTGCGGTCGTAAGTTGAGGACTACCTGTATATGTGGATTAATTACAAGATCCTAGGTTCTTGGGAAGAACTTGATGCATATAAAAGCCAACACCAGTTACTACGGTAGCAGCTGTGATTTATGCTGTTTATAATATTAATTGAACTTTTCCCCCACCTGAATCTCTTCCCAACTGTAAATTACTTCTGAAATGTTTTTTAAACAGTACCATAGATTTATTTATTAAGAGGTTGCAGTAGATGTGTCTGCAAAGATGGTACATACGAAAGCAACTTCTTTGCAATAGACTGGAACAGAAAGTTTTGTAGCTTGAGCTTAAAGAGATCTCTAGGCTTACTATCTAGCACTCGCCATCTCCATGGTTACAAAACAGAAGATCATGGGAAGGAAACAACCCTACCCCCCATTTCCCCCACTAAACAGTGATGTCACCAATAGCCAATCCTGCCACTACAGCTGTTTCATAACAGCATAACAGCTAGAATTGTGAGTACAGGAGCTGCCAAGAAAACATGCTGGGCCTTTGCTTGAGTAACCTCATGCTGTTGGCTGTTTGAGCAGGAGAGGGAGGATGAGTGTTTTCAGCAATGCAAAATATCACCAAGCTTTCAGGTTTCTAAGAGAAGAGTTTAACTGAACCCACTCACTTCCTGTGCAGCATTAATGGGGAAAGTATCAAAGCCCACCCTGGGCAGTAAATTCATCTTGGGAAACTAATCATCTGTGTCATCCATTTCATGCTCTCTTCTTGTTTTTCGTAAGCCATTCTAGGAGGAATGGGACTTCAACGGATGGCCAGACTGGCAAAACAAGTGAACAAATAATTGAAAACAAAGCATTTGTAGCAGTGGCGGTTATTTGGCAGCGGTGCAGAGAGCAAGACTCAAGACTTTGAAAATCACAGCTATGAAGTCAGAAGACAACAAGCCGTTCTTGCATGTGACTGGAGGCCTGCTGCTTTGCATACTAGTGGTGGCTTTGGGAATTTTTGATGGCGTTCACACAGATACTGGCTACGAGCATTATGCTGAACCAACAGTGCCTGGAATGCCAGTCTTCCTAGCTATGCCAGCAAATTGCTTAATCAATTTGGCCTACATACTTCTGGGTTGGTATTGGTGGCCACCCGGTGACAAGAGTAGGCAGAACTACTTTCAAGAGGTCTTTGCCCTCATGGCGCTTTTATATGGGCCTACACAATGGGTCCGACTGTGGACACAGCATCATCGGGCAGCTGTTTTAGATCAGTTGTTAACACTACCAATTTTTGCTTGGGTCATTGTTTGGTGCCTATTTCTTGAAACTGGGTGGGAACCATATGTTTTTCTAGTCATAGAAGTGACTTCACTGACTAGTTATGTCCTGGCAGTGCTTCATCCACAGGGTTTTGAGTTGGCATTGAGTGGACATATAATTGTTGTTTTTTGGAGAGTACTGAAAGTGCAAAGACAGTTTGGCAATGCCAGTTCCATCTGGATTATAGTTCTGGGAACGATGTGTTGCTTTGGTTTTGTAAGCCTCAAAGTGTGGGATCGAGAACTGGCCCAGTGGGCATTCTTCTCTCGACTCACTGGTCATTTTTGGTCCAAGGTATGTGATGTGCTGCAGTTCCATTATACTTTTCTCTTCCTTACCTTAATGAGCAGACACCGGCTAAGCTCAGTGAAATAATCTATAATTTCAATGAACAGTCTTAATCAAAGGAGAAACTTACACAACAGTACAAGAGCATACTGTAATGTGGTTTGAAAGAATAAAAAGTCTGCTAAAATATGCCAGTTTCTTCAAAAAGCTATTGAAGATAGTTGGTGAAATCCACACAGTATCACTCAGTTTATTTCCTGTTGAATATAATCCTGTTTTATAAAACCACATAGGAGAGAAAAAAAGTTGATTTATACAGTAGTCCTCAATTTACAACCAACTGTTTAGTGACACTCTGAAGTTACAGCAGCACTGAAAAAAGTGACTTATAATCAGGCCCTATACTTAACCGTCAAAGCATTTCCAGGGTCATGTGATCAGAATTCAGGTGCTTGGCAACCGGAATCTGCCTTCCCCATTGACTTTGCTTCTCAGGTTGCAAAAAGTACATGACCCTGGGACCTGCAATGGTAATAAATATGAACCAGTGCTAAGCATCTGAATTTTGATCACATGATCGTGGGGATGCTGGAAAGGTGGGAACTCTGAAAAATGGTCATAAGTCATTTTTCTCAGTGCCGTTGTAACTGAACAGTCACTAAATGAATTCTAAGTTGAGGTTTACCTGTATACTTTTAATTTTATCTAGGAGCTTAGTTTAGGGTACATAGCACTTCCTTTTTTATCCCATCCCATCATCAGGGTTTGGGCCAAGACAGACTGGCCAAAGTCACACACTGAGCTTCCATGGCTAAGAATGAATTTGAACTTTTATGTCCTTTGTCCAAAGTTTAACCTTTTCCTACCACAACTCCCTTCACAGTGATGCCATGTAATTATTCAGCGTTATTAATATTCAGCATAGTTCAGTTTTGAATAGAAACATCTTACTGTGATGTTGAACTACATTCCTAAAACAGAATCTATCATGGCTACAACACAACTGCAGCATAGCAAAAAAAAAAAAAAAAGTCACTAGACAAAACTTACCCTCCTAACATTATGTAGATGTTTTCTATTTTTTTCTTTCCAATTTCTCTTTATCATATCTAAATTTGGGGTCTTAAAATTTTTCCCTTTCCCTTTCCCTTTCCCTGTAGCATCTTTTGTGCTGGCCAAATCCTAAATCATTTCTATTGTCTAAATAATGACAAGTCATTAGTCATTAGTACTTTTTTTCTCTTAATTTTGTGGTTTTCTGTATTAAATAAGAACAATAATAATAAAGCCAACCACTTTGATAACCATCTGGTTGAAAAATCAGTAATCCACCGTGTATGGTCTTTGGGGGTTTTGCTTCAATATGGTTTCACAGCTTGGTTTCTTACAGTGGAAATAAGGGGAAGATGGCACGAGAAAAAGCAGATGTTCTTGCCTTTCTGAAAACTCTGATAGGACAAAGATTCTGCTTTCTAAGTTTCCTCTCCCACAGGAGGTAATTTTGTTTATAACGATTGCAAACATCTACTATACCCTGTGAATAATCATATAAACTATAAACTAAATGATACTGACAACTTACAAATATATAAAATGTTTTATCTATTCAGCGAAAGGGAGCATGTAGTGAGGAACTTGTATAACAATGAAAATCCACATCATCATCATCACCACTCCCACCCACCCCACCAGTTTTGATCTCCATAACTCCAATGGTGACTTCCATTTATGGCAGATTGCTGGCCTGAACCCAAATTCTACCAGAAACACGTGCCACACTGGTACCAACTAAGGGAACAGGCATGGTATCCAAAGGAGGATAGCATGACCCCTATAATTTGCAAAGTGCTGTCAGCGCTATGAGAACTTTGATCCCGTCTTTGTTGAATTCGTCATTCAAATTCATCACTCTCTTCAGGTTCACGAGGTGGCTCAGCAACACCATCTGAAGGGGAGAAAGAAAAGAAACTCAGGTTTCAACCTCTCACGGAGTAAAACTGCTCTTTATCAGCTAGCGGTTTCTCATCTGTCCCAAAACTGAAATACAGAAATAGCACAATAGGACCATAAATCTGTCTGGGTTGCCTTCAGTCCATCTTTCCCAAAGCCACTCCAAGCTTAGTATCCTCTAGCTGTGATTGAGAGTTAAAATCTTAACACATCTGGAAAATACCCACGTGGGGAGTGAGTGACTTGATGACCAGATTACTGCTGCTGCTGCCATGTCTCAAAGAGCTTGGATTTAGTTTCTCGGATGATTTTGTGCTATATTGGATAAAGGACAGACATCCTCTGAAAATAATGACTTTGCGCGTTTATTTATTTACTTAAAACATTTCTACCCAAGGAACTCTAAACAGAAATAAAACATAACTAAACTATACAAATCAATTCAAAAGAAACTGGCTCAAAGCCCCTAAAAAGTATATTAACTTATCAAAAAAACACACACCCATGCCAGAACTCCATCCGCATCCCAACTCTAGTGCCTGGATAAAGAGCCAATTCTTCCAAAAGGTCAATAGGTTTGGATATTTGTAATTCAGGGAGAAGGCTATACAACAGGACAGGTCCTGTGACTGAGAAGGTATATTTCCTGAGTCCCACCAGGTAATGCCTCACTGGGGAGGCCTGGAGCAAACCTACTCTGCCAGATTGGTCTCATGAGTACATACAGCTTTAAAGGTGACAACTTTTCAATAGCATTTGTAAGCCCACTGAGTGTCTATACAGGAATGTTCCATGGGCATGTCTTGGCACAGGCGGTATACATTTTGAACCAGCTGAACTTTCCAAGTGCTTTTTTAAAGGCAGCTCCACGTAGACTATGTTGCAATGGTCTAACCAGAAAGTGACTAAGACATGAGTGACAGCCAGTAATGCTTACTAATATAGAAATGGGTGCAACTGATGCACAAGATGTACTTGTGCAAAGACTTGAATAGGACCTGCGAGTGCAGAACTCCCAGACTTTGTACAAACTGCCTGGGGGAGCGTGACCCGATTGAGAACGATGAATGGTGGAAAATCACTAAGTACAGGAGATCCTAAAACCCACAGCTAATTTTTTCAGAGCTGCTCCATTCTAATCTATACAGCTTCAAGACCAAGAAAGAACCTCAACACCTTCACTAAGATGGCCTGGGACAGATGTATAACTGAATATTATGAACATACTGATAATAGTTAACCCTGTGGCAAAATGACCTGACTCAGCAGTTCCAGAATGCACATGATTAAACATTCCTTCATATTCACCACCATGACTACTCCCAGGATATATACATTCTACTGCCTCTTTGTGTTGATAAAGAAAGGGACAACTAACTTCCATCCCAATTTTTTAGGTGAAAGGATTTTTCAGGGGGAACTAAAGCATTCTGTCATGTAGGGAGAAGGCAAAGATTTGCTACATTGCCTGCTTTACTAAAACTAGGAAGAATCCCACCTGGACAGCAGAGAGAATGGCCTTTGGGCTTACAAATGCTGTGGTAAAATCTGAGGAGCCCGAACTTCGTATTTTACAGCATAAGATCAGAAGCTGTCTAACAATAGTCTGGGAAGAACTGTGGATGCCCAGTGTTGTGGCCCGTGAGCGGCCTGTGCAGCTAGTAGCTGATTCCGACAGCGAGGAGGCTGGTGTGGTGATGCGCCAGCAGCCTGTGCAGCTGGCACTCAAGTCAGACAATGAGGAGGCTGGAGAAGATGTGGTGCCAGAGGCAGGGATTCAGCCAGGGCCTTCAGAAGCTCCCATAAGTGAAGAGGAAGAAGAGGAGGAGCCTCTTCTTGATGCATGAGCGTGCAGAGCTGCCAAAAGGCAGGAGTGGCTCCTCAGGAGAAGGTCTCCTCGAGAGTAAGGCTTGGGGCTAATTGGCCACTCCCCTAGCCTATTTAAGGAAGGACGATGCCTGAGGCAATTTGCAGGAAACAACTTCGTTCATATTCCTTTGCATCTTTTTTTTTTTTTTAATTCAATTTATATCCCGCCCTTCTCCAAGTGGACTCAGGGCGGTGCACAGCCAGAACTAAAACACATATCAATACAAAATTTAAAATTATTAAAAGAATTAAATAACTGTGGCCCAAAAATTTAAAACACTGAAAACTAAAACCCATTTGACAATTTAAAAAGCTAAAAAACAAAAAAGGGGGGGATTTTCACGCCAGCCCTGTTTGATGGAAAAGTTTTAGGGCACGGCGAAAAACCCGGAGATCCGATATCCTTCGTATCTCCAGGGGCAAATCGTTCCAGAGGGCAGGAGCTGCCACAGAGAAGGCCCTCCCCCTGGGGCTCGCCAGCCGACATTGCCTGGCTGACGGCACCCTGAGGAGTCCCTCTCTGTGGGAGCGTACTGGTCGGTGGGAGACTATTGGCGGCAGAAGGCGGTCCCACAAATACCCAGGCCCATGCCATGAAGCGCTTTAAAGATGGTGACCAATACCTTGAAGCGCACGCGGAAGACCACCGGAAGCCAATGTAGCTCACGCAGGAGAGGCGTCACATGGGAGCGGCCCCTTGCTCCCATAATCCCCCACGCGGCCGCATTCTGCACCAGTTGGAGCCTCCGGGTGCTCCTCAAGGGGAGCCCCATGTAGAGAGCATTGCAGTAGTCCAGGCGTGAAGTGATGAGCGCCTGAGTGACTGTGCGTAGGGAGTCCCGATCCAGAAAGGGACGCAACTGGCGAATCAGGCGGACCTGATAAAATGCCCCCCTGGCCACGGCCGTCATATGCTCTTCTAAAGACAGCCGTGCATCCAGGAGGACACCCAAGTTGCGAGCCCTATCTGTGGGGGCCAATAACTCTCCCCCAATAACCAGCGATGGCACCAGCTGGCTATATCGGGACGCTGGAAGCCACAGCCACTCGGTCTTGGAAGGGTTGAGTCGAAGCCTGTTACTCCCCATCCAGGTCCGCACGGCCTCCAGGCACCAGGACATCACTTCAAGGGCATCGTTGGGATGGCCTGGGATGGAGATGTACAGCTGAGTATCATCAGCGTACTGATGGAACTCCACCCCAAAGCCACGGATCATCTCACCCAGCGGCTTCACATAAATGTTGAACAGAAGGGGCGAGAGGACCGACCCCTGCGGCACCCCACAAACAAGGCGCCTCGGGGTCGACCTCTGCCCCCCTGCCAACACCGACTGCGACCGGTCGGAGAGATAGGAGAACCACCGCAAAACGGTGCCCCCCACTCCCAACCCCTCCAACCGGCGCAGCAGGATACCATGGTCGATGGTATCAAAAGCCGCTGAGAGATCTAACAGGACCAGGATAGAGGAGGAACCCCTATCCCGAGCCCTCCAGAGATCATCCACCAACGCGACCAATGCCGTTTCTGTGCTGTGCCCAGGCCTGAAGCCGGACTGGAGCGGATCCAGATAGACAGCTTCATCCAGGTACCCAGGAAGCTGTCGCACCACCATACTCTCAACAACCTTCACCAAGAAGGGAAGGTTGGAGACCGGACGATAGTTAGCCAAAACAGCCGGATCCAGAGCAGGCTTCTTGAGGAGGGGCCTCACCACCGCCTCTTTCAGAAACGTCTGATCGGCTCTTGCTCCTTTCTTGTCAGTTTTCCTGCAAATTGCTTCTGGGCATTCTGCCAACCACAGTAAGATTACGGTTATCTGAAATACTGTGCTTTAGAATTGAGTTATTATTCTTTGGATTCTTGTCGGCTGTTAATGAAGTTAAATTAACAGCCTTTGTTCAGAAAAGACTGATTTAAACTGTACTTGTGTTCGAACAACTACTAAGAAAACTCATTAGTAGTCCTTAATTAGCAAACTAAGGTTTGTACGGACTTTGTGTGTGCTGCATTCTTTGGGATCCATAGCTGGGGCAGAACACCCAGGAAGGAAGTTTATCTGTTTTAATAGGATTCTGAACCAGTTCCTCTGATGGCAAAAAGGGACCAAAGATAGGGTCTGAGTAACTTGGTTTTATAGGAAGGTTTTTTTACTTTCCTTCTCTAGCACCATTTTCAAACATTACCTTAACATCATAATCATGAGAATCATGATTCTCAGCCTGAGAATCTTCTTTCGTCTAACTCCTGTCTTACCCCAAATGCCTCATTTTTGACCCATCTTGGCCTGCTTAAATAGCCCTGACATTCTGCTGTATAAGTAAAACCAGATTCTACAATAATAATAATATAATATAATTTTATTTCTATACCGCCCTTCTCCCGAAGGACTCAGGGCGGTGTACAGCCTATTTAAAAACACAAGACAAACATCAATTAAAAATTTAAAATTATTAAATAAATTCGGCTCAATTTAAAACCCAAAAAAATTTAAAATACCCCAATTTAAAATATTACGTTGATAGCCCGGCCTGGCGGAACAACAGGGTCTTCAATGCACAGCGAAATACCCAGAGGTCGTAGATCTTACTCATTTCCGGGGGCAGTTCATTCCACAGGGCTGGGGCTCCCACAGAGAAGGCCCTCCCCCTGGGTGTCGCCAGCCGACATAACTTGGCTGATGGCACCCTGAGGAGACCCTCTCTGTGGGAGCGAACTGGCCAGTGGGAGGCTATTGGTGGCAGAAGTCGGTCTCGAAGGTACCCGGGTCCTATGCCATGGAGTGCTTTAAAGATGGTGACCAACACCTTGAATCGCACCCAGAAGACCTTGTCAGAAGAAACTTCTGACAAGGCATAATCCAGCAGCAGGCAGAGATTCAGAGGGATATCAGGAGGAGCAACTGAGAACAAATAAAATGAACTATAATGTGGACTATAAATTTGTCCTGCTTAATGGATTCTCAGGAATTCATTTCCAGATATATATTCAACAGGAAAATAGAGACGTCAGAGCAGAGATTAAAATGGAGCCATTGTTTCTACAGAGGCTTTATATATTTTGACACAAACAGCTTATGCAGAGCAAGCCAGGAACGTCACACCTGCTGCTCCTATTGTACGGCTTTCTTACATGAAAAAAGGCCGTTTGTCCAAACTTATCTGCAATGTATAAGGTCACAGTATTTAAAGCACATAAACTATCATGACATCTTCTATTCAGATTTGTCTATGCAAGCTTCAGACAAAAGTAATCTTGCTCTAGTTGTCAAACATTTTCTTCTATCAATCTTATACTTAATCTTTTTGATTCTGACATGAAAATAAGAGAGGATAGTTTTTGATACTTCTTTACTGAGCATGCTGATTGATGAAGTGAAACTGAACAATGACTATTGGAACTGAACTGCCCTTCTCGATATAAAGGTAAAAGTAAAGGTTCTCTTCGCACATATGTGCTAGTTGTTTCCTACTCTAAGCAGCGGTGCTCATCTCCGTTTCAAAGCCAAAGAGCCAGCGCTGTCCGAAGACATCTCTGTGGTCATGTGGCCGGCATGACTAAACGCCAAAGGTGCACGGAACGCTGTTACCTTCCCACCAAAGGTGGTCCCTATTTTTCTACTTCCATTTTTTACGTGCTTTCGAACTGCTAGGTTGGCAGAAGCTGGGACAAGTAACGGGAGCTCACCCCGTTACGTGGCACTAGGGATTCAAACCGCTGAACTGCCGACCTTTCAATCGACAGGCTCAGCGTCTTAGCCACTGAGCCACCGTGTCCCTTACATTTCTTGAAATGTCACTCCCTAATTTAACAGAACCAGTTTGGAGATTGAATAGTGCCACCTCCAGCTGCACAGCATTACCTTCTCCTGAAGGTGTAGAGGCAAGCACAGCCAGGCTGTCAAGCTCCCCCTCATGATACAGTGCCAGCCGTTCCATCATGCGCCTCCGTGCTGGGTTGATGACAATCTGAGGAGTAGGGTTACCTGCGGAAAGAAAAGAGACCAGCACTAAGTGACAGCCTACCGGATAATCAAACTGAGGCCCTTAACAAAAGAGCTGGATTAGTGTCTATCTCCTGGAGTAAACCAGATAAGAATCACAACTAGATGTGCTAATTCTTTACTGTAAAGCTATATTGACAGAATCTTGCAATTATGAAAATACAGTCCTCCCTCCACCCCCATCTCCTTTACAGCCCGAGAAACAAGACAGGGTATCTTCTGAACCTTTTGCCCCATCCAACTATCCAAATGCAGGCTCTGCTGTCTCTTATCTGGCAGCATCTTTTTGCCCAGTGTCTCAAGGCCGCTCCCACATTATCATTCTGATTGGCAATATGTCATTTAGCTGTTCTCCAGACGCCAGCCTGGGTATTTTCGGTGCCAGTTGAAGCAACCTTTACATTTTGAGCGTCTTAAAAGCATTGATGGTTGCAGCATTGCTTTTAAGTTGTACCTTTTAAGTACCTTCACTCCTACTTTAATGCATTTGTATTGCTATCCTATTAAAGCTGTTAAGTCTTACTGAGCACATACATTGAAATAACATAAAAATAGCGAAAGATAATAAAATGTTAAAATAAGGGTGCCTGAAAGTTACCAGATGTAGGGCTGGGTGGAGATGGCACAGAACAAGCAAGGAAGAAATGCATTTTTAAAAAGCTGCAGCCCAGCAGGACAACCAATGATTAAAACAAAATTGATCAAACAAGCTGTAAAACATCAGATGGACAGGTCAAGTAATTAACACGGATGTGGAACAGTATTTAAAGCCATGTTAGGCCACAGCTCCAACTTGCTCCATATTACTGATACACCAGAAGGCCACATCTTGCCAGGGTTTCAGGTAGGCATTTTCTTAGCCAACTGGAGACTCTAGAGGCTGAAACTGGGAGCTTAATAAATCAGGTTTTGTGTCATATTGTATCTGATCTCAAAATACATTCCACAAATAACTGATTTAATGTTAGTGGAGGCCTACCTTCTTAATTGCATCATTCCTTCCATCTGACAGCAAAGCACAGGAGGGAAAATATTTCAGTCTATTACATTTATATGAACACGCTTGATAACCAAGTGCCCACAGCCCACAGTTGTTATTTTCATTTAAAAATAAACATTTGGCATTTCTGTCTATATTACAGGCATTCATTACACATCTGTACTTGTTGGAACAAGGACACATTAAAAGTATTCCAAACAAATGCCTTAATTATTGAAGTCAGCTGATCCAATAAGTGTGGTTGTTTCCCAACCATTTTTCTAATTAGCAAATATTTCATTATGCTTAATAAATACTTTAAATTTCCAACCTTAGTAACTTCCAGCTCTTTGGTGTTCAGCTCACTGGATTTCCCAAGCAGTGCAGCCATGCAGCCATTGCTGAAAATTCTGAGCTGAAGTCTATACATCTGGTAGTTGATAAACACTGCTTTAAATATATGGCTGTTATTTGCCGCAACATGGCCTTGATGATATATAATGTTGTTTGCTTATATTTGGCTTGTCATCTTGTGTGAACCCCACCCTTATAGCTTTCTGTTATCTGTTTAGCCGGCTGATCATTCTGTCTGGCAAAGCCTCTGAATGGAGTGGGAGAAAGAGATGTCTGCAGAATATCGTACCTAACTGGCCAATAGACACACTTTCTGTGGTCACTCTTCTGTAGCTCAACAGTTTGGAGTTGGCCTCTAGGCTTTCATCACTTTCCTCAGGTTCATTAAGAGGCATGGATGAATAGTAGTCTTCTTGGGGTGTGTGAGGTTGCTGTGGAGGCAGTAGTAAAGAGGCAGAAGATTTCCCACGTAGGGGTAACTGTAGCCTCTCTAGCTCTTGATAGACCTGCAGGATAGGAAGAATAGTTACATACTATTGCTTCTTAGAAACACCATCTGGCAAATAAAAAAACTCCCTCATTCTTCCATTTCCAAGGCAAAGCTACTGTGGCCATATAAGCCAGCTCCTTTGAACAGGAAGCTCCATTCCTTCCCAAGCTCACTTCATGTCTGATAGGCAGCCTTACGATATAACCAAAATGCTGCAAACAATATAGTGAATATTCTAAGCTGAGATTCCTTCACTTATATTTATGGTAAATGGGGCACGAATAGCCATCAACAGACACTGCAGTGCCAGCAGGAAGCAACAGAAACAAGAGAGACTCAATATAACTCGGCATTTATTCATTGTCCCTTCCCCATTTGCCATCATTAATTCTTTTCTTTTAGGGTTCATGCATTGGTCAGTTCCATAGAAGTGATACGGGCAGCTGCAAATGAAAACAGCACTCCATTGTGACAGTAGCATTATCCACAGAAATAGAGTAATTCTGGACTGGAATTTGGATGTTACTGCATTTTAACCCAACACCCTTAATCAATGGTCATATTAGCTGAGAATGAAACTTAGCAACATCTGGAAGACCACTGGTTCCCCCTTCCTGGATCCTTCTAGCTGCAGGTCCTATAGAATGGGTATAGACAGCTGACAAAATAAACTTTACAAAAACAATGGAGGGAGGGAGGAACAGTGGGTGGATTATGTGTGTTTGTGCATGTGTGTCCTTTCTCTCCACACTCCATTATGAATATGCCATCCCTCTTTTACTTACACTATATGGCCATCCCAGAAACATCAGCCAATAAAAGAGACACAGATGTTTCTATTTATATATAATGAAATCAAATCAGTTGGAAAGTATCTGAAAAACTACAGCTTTTTCTCATCTCAGTTCTCCTGCTAAGGGTAAATAGAAGCATTATTATGGTCACTAAATGGTTTCTAGACATTGATAATTATTTCTCAATGACTCATTCACAAGTCAGGGCCAATTTGGGATATTATTTTACAGTGCTTACAATGATCTGGGTGAGTCAAATGAATTATAATCCTCTCCTTAGATCTTAAGACAAGTAACAGTTTGCACTTGCATGCAAAAATCAGATAAATTTGAGGAGGGGAGAACCAGACTTTTCTGATGCCAACCAACTGATATGAACCTCCAGGTATAAACTTGGTCTGGAATATTTCTGAAATGTCCACTTTCTAAGTACACAGAAGGGCACACCAGGCACAGATATAGACAGGGCTATGGAGATGTTCAAAGAAAGGGATTTAAAAGAGAAGGGGGTAGGGTGAATGTATGTATTTATACACATATACACTTTCTTTATGAAGCTGATGTGAAGCAACAGCATAAAGCAAAGTCAGTATATGTGAAAAGAGAACAGATTCAGAAGATAACATGCACAAAGCATGCATGATTGTCCCAGATTTTGATGGATGTTCAAAATTCTTCCTGACTCTATGAAACAAAGGCTTAAAGTTAAAAGCTTTGTTACAGCAAAGCAAATTCCAGATTTCTTCCCAGAGGAAGAAATCAAATGTTTGTTCTCTTACTTCAGCCATTGAAGGGCGGCGCTTGGCTCGCGGGTGGAGACAGCAACAAGCCAACTTTCCTAGTGTTTTGCCCAGTTGCTCTGGACAGGGGCCAGACCGGAGGTCTACGTGCTTTTGGTAGAGATGACTGCCAAGCTGAACTGCTTTGGTATGACTGGAAGAAGCTGTGTTTGTTGACAGGTGGGCTTCTTGCTCCTCTTCATCACTTACCAGATCCTTCTGAAAGCACAAAGGTGGACGAGTGATTGTAAAAAGTCAAGCTGCATGTTACATAGTTAATTAGCATAAGATGAGATAAGAATTGCTTACCAAGTACTTGCTGTGTCCACGAGAATCTACTTCCATGGGTCGTCTTCCAGTCAAGAGTTCTAGAAGAACCTGTCAGGGATGAAGAAAGATTATTTTGAACTATGGGAGAAACAGATAAAATACTACTAAAATGGGCACTTTGTTCTTTCCTCATATTTCAGTACAGGCAGTCAGGTGACCAGAACACAGAATTTCATTATAGGATTAGGCCATCCTAGGATAAAGTTGATCAGATTTATTACAAAGGACCTTTTTGTGTCAAGTTTTCCAACCAGGCCTTTTTCGTAAGAACTCAGGGATCAAAAGAATTATTTCTAACTAACCTTTGATTCAACTGCTCTGAAAGTCAGACTCAAAAGCAAACAATATTAGGTTCTGGCAGGATTTTCCCTCCTGCCTCTTAATAGAATATAGCTTTATTGCTTACAGTTTGAATCCTAATATTAATGCAAACTTTATAATGTATATTAATACTAGCCATAAAATCAACATTAAAACATAATTATATGTTCATTGCAATCCATCTGATCAAATCAAATGGAATTTATGTAGCTATTAAAATTATTATTATATACAATAACAACTATAAATCCCTTAATGATGTACAAATGCCCCAAATCTTTTAAATCTAAATCTAAATCAATTATAAAATGTAATTATGTAAGTATTTTGGCAATGACAAACCATGCATCACATAGCTGAAGTAAAAAAAGTTAGTCCATTAATTTAAACAATCCCACAAGTAGCATTTTTTCCCCTGACATGTTGAGTCAGAATGTATAATGTGATACTTACTTAGGTCTGCATATGATGGACAAATAAAATTACAACTTTCTTTTAATTGTGCCCAAATCATCTTAAATTGCCCACTGAAAGAAGATGTTCTTGAACATCTTGAAGTGGCTCCCTGGCCATTATTGGATGGATTTAATAGACAGACCCTATGACAGTTATGTGAATATGAAAGCTATCTTAAGAGAATAACCCTCTGAATTGTTTAAAGAGACTATCCCCTCAGAAGGAGAAGCTAAACTCAGCATGTTCTCTGAAATCATCAATTGTTTAACGTATTACCTGGGAAGATGGCAGACTACACATTCTAAGCAGAAGCAGAATACTCCTAATGGACGTTATAGAAATGAATACAGGCTGTTGAACAAATGAACTTAGAATTCCCCTTCACTTGTATGACATATCCTGTCTTCATCATACTTCATTTATTTGTAATACAAATAGTTTTCAACTTATAACAATTCATTTAGTGACTATTCAAAGTTATAATGGCACTGAAAAAGTGACTTAGTCCTCGCACATAGGACCGTCACATCCCCATGGTCATGTGATCTAAATTCAGGCCCCTGGCAACTAGCATGTATTTATAACAGATGCACCATCCTACGGTCATGTGATTGTCTTCTGTGACTTTCCCAGCCAGCTTCCAACAAGCAAAGTCAATGGGGAAAGCTGGATTCATCTAACAACCGCACGATTCATTCACTGCAGTGCTTCACTTAACAACTATAGCAAAAATGTTGTAAAATTGGGAGCAACTCTCTGAAAAACCGTCTCGCTTAGCAACAGAAATATTAGTCCCAATTGTGGTCATAAATCAAGATCTACCTGTAACATTCCTGTTCCCATATTACTCACCACACCAAAGCTGAATATATCAATAGCAGTAGAAAGCATCCCAGTCCGGACGTATTCAGGAGGTAGATAGGCCAATGTACCCCTCACAGTCTGGGTCTGGCCCAGTGAACTGCTTATTGCTCCCTGCTTTGGCCGCCGGCTGAATCGTGCCAATCCAAAATCAGCCAGCCGTGGATTGAGTGCTGCATCCAAAAGGATGTTAGAGCTGTATATGACAGGAAAAGAAGGTTTTGTCACTTGTTGATGTTACCTAGTTTGGTAATGAAATGTCTGCAAGAAAACCACCAAGCTCAGAGAGCACCAAGGACCCCATAATTCCTTCTCAAACTCCCATATGTAATAAGCATGACCAGGGAATAGCTCTCCTCCAAATTTTCATCTTGTTGTTTGGAGACTCAACACTTGAAGACTCAGTGTTACTCCCAAATACCAGTTACAGAGGAAAGGAATATGCATCCTATCTGTCTCAGAAGCATTTGGTTGACCATGATGAGAAATAAAACACTGGACCAGAGGAGTCATTATGAAAACAAGAGGAATGTCAGCCTGGCCAATGGTATATAAATAAAATAAAACCTAAACCTAAAACCTAATGGTGTGAAATACTAGGAATTGGAAATTAGTAATGTGAAAGGTCCTAAGTTTCTAAGTCCAGCTACTGGACTTAGCACAATATTCATTGTCTATTTTCATTCTCTCTTGCACAATCCTCCACCTCCCCATCCCACATTGAAGCACAGAAGGTAAAGAGTTGTTAAACATCTCTCTCCTCACCTAAAAAGCAGATCTCACATTTAAACAAAAACAATTCATTAGTTATGTTTACATCTCACTCTAGGAGATGAGTTCCCCTCCATTCTCTTACCTCTTTACATCTCCATGGATAAGGCTCGGGGAGTCACTGTGCAGAAACTGAATAGCTCTGGCAGTGCCCAGAGCCACATGGTGTCGTTGTGTCCAGGAGAGGCAAGCATCAACCTAAGAAATTCAAAATAGATTCAAGGACAGGAGTGATCCTGAAGGACTTGTTTGCAAGCACAGAGTACTTTTAAATAGAGAGGACAAATTCAGCTAGGTACCTGGCCGTGTAAATGATCTTCCAAGGATCCCTTGGGCAGGAAGACATAGACAAGGCAGAAACATCCCTGTTCAGCACAACAACCAGCAAACTCTACAATATTAGGGTGGCGAAACCTAAGTTACAAGTGAGACAGTATTAAACAATGGTAGTTCCAACACAACCCACACCCTTGTTCCCATGATTCTCTAGTACTGTCTTCTCCAATTTGGCATTCCCCTAATGTGCTGGGTTTGGGGAGATGAAATCCAACACATCAGAAAGTCACTAGAAAAAAACCCCAACCCATTATTTCATTTCTGGGATCCCACAGTACATCCAAAATAAACTTTGGTACTTACCGGGAAAGTTTTTCCACTTCTGTGACAAAACTATTCTTTATTACAGTCCAGTCCAGTTCTGCTTCCTGTCAGTTAGTTTAAGGGAGATTTTAAAAAAGGAAGGAAGACATATAAGTCATCATTAGCTGGACTAAGTGAAAAAAAATTCTGAGGGGTACAAAGGAGCAGGCTCAGCAACTAAGGACCAAATGTATATGAAAACACAGCCATGTTACACTGAAGGACGACTAGGTCTGTTATGGCCAATCTCCATGGCTATCATGTCCCTGGGCTGCAAAGAGCTCATGCCCAATCTTATTTTTAGGGGATGGTCTATTAGAGGTGCAGGAGCCAAGTCTAAGAAATTTTACAATTCATCATTCCATGGACTAGTGGAGAGTGGAAATGAAAATGAAAAGCCAGTGGAAATGAACATAAAACAAAAAAGTGTGAGCATTGTGAGTTGTAATACCCAATGGAAATACCTCCTTGAGCCGTTTCACAGCATAGACAGTGTTGCGCAATCGGGCCTGGTAGACGCAGCCAAAACCTCCTTCACCAATCTTGAGATGTTCAGAGAAGTCGTCTGTAGCTTGGCGCAACTCTTCTAACTGCCACTCGAAAGGGCACGTGGAGGGCAGAGATTCAAGGCCCTGGAATAGGGTGGGCAGACATACTGTAAACAGAACGAAAGGACATCCCTTCTCTCCAAAACACAATAACTCTGAAGCATAAGCATTTTAGTGTCTTCTTCTCTGGCTGCTGACTGCTTCTCCTCCTCAAATGGAGAAATGGATCAAGCTTTCAATGATCAAAAAGTTATGTCTGCTTCAGATCAGTTCGAAGTACCAGTAAATTAGAGAGTGGCCTCAGAGAAATTCTAATCCTATTTCCAGATGAACAAAATGAAAGCAATTAAATGAAGATACTTAAAAACATAAATTGAAGCTTCAAGTGAATAAGGAAAAGATAGAATACTTTTTATGCAGCAAAGTTTAATGACTCTTCCAATATCCTAAAAAGTAGATTTGTGTTATATTCATATACATTAAGTTAGGGAAAAGGAATAAGCGTGCCAAACACCACAAAGTATTTATGACAGAAATTCCAGATTTCTAAACCAGGAATCTTGATTTGGGGGTCAGACTTTTAGACATCTGGTCAAGGTTAATTCCAAAGTTAATTCCTGTACATGTTGGAAGAATTAGAAAATTAGAAACAAATGGGATTAAGAGATTAAGCTATAGGTAGTCCCCATTTAACAACTACTCATTATGTAACCATCCAAAATAATGGTTGAACAAAGCACTGACAAATGTACTCACAACCGGTCCTGGAAATTCTGGCCATCCCAGCATCTCCATGGTCACATGTTAGCTATTTGTGACCTTCCCTGATGGTTTCTCACAAGCAAAATCAATGGAGAACCCAGGAGGGAAGGTTATAAGTCACTCTGCTAAGTTGCTCACACTTCCCCACAACCCGATAGAAACCATCCCTGGATCTGCTGCGCTTGGACCACAGGGCCAACAATGCACTCTCACCCTTGTGTATCTTCCCTTACTCAACAGCAACTCTTATTTGCCTGCCGCTATGTGAGCTCCCTGAGATTGTTTAACAACCTGTGACTCTTGCTTAACAATGACAATGGGAACAGCCAAGATTGCCAACGCTAAGTGATTCAGACATGTGTTGTTGTGCTTTATGATAGCATCACTTAACATTGCAAATTCCAGTCTCAATTATCACTGTTAACCGTGGACTACCTGTACAGCATACAGGCAGCATATTGGGCAGCCAGAAGAAGGGAGAAAATACTAATGTAACAACAGGAGAAAAACTTTAATAAAATGATGGACATGGGACATATATTTAAAACCAAAAAGAAGTAACTTTGGTAATGGCAAAACTGCAGCAGTAAAGAGAAATTAAGTACTAGCATCAGTGCAGAATGCAAAAGGACATTTTGAGGGTGGGTGGTAGGGCTCTAAAGCAGAGCCATAAGCAAAAAACAATGAGAAAGGAAGAACTGTTATCTAAAAGATACTGAAAAACATATGACTGAAGAAAAGATACATATATCTTGGGACTTCCGGTTGGCTCCGCAAGCTTTGAAGACGCTCTTTTATGAGCGCCCGATCCCCGGTTCGGTAAAAGCCCCAGAACAGCCGAAAAACAGCTGTCTGGAGGCTTGGAACCCTCTCCCCGGGCAAAGGGGAGAGAGAAGAGTCGACAGGCGGAGGTAGAGCCCCCCAAGTGCGCTAGGAGAAATCCTGGGGTGCAAAGGGTGTGGGCTCCCTATTGAAGCCTGTCAAGCTACTCCGGACCAGGGACAACTCCGCCAAAGCGGAGCTAGAAGCTGCGACCAAAATCTGCTGAAAATCAACGGGGGGACTTTTAACATCTTTACTTTGATAGCAGACAGAGCAAATCAGGAGAAAACAAAAAGGAAAACTTGCAAGTAACACTTTAACTCCGTTTTAAAATGCAGAAAATGGCGCTTGAGGGCGGGAGGAGGAAACTACCAGGGAAAGTGCTTGTTAAGGCTTGTTAACGTTTGCAACAGTGATACAGCTACTGGATTACACCCTAAGAGAAAGTTTTAAAGTGGAAGCGGCCAGGGAAAGAATTTGGTATTGAGGAAAAGAATTTGGTACTGACTTTAACTAAAATCTGGTTTTTATACTGTGTGGAAAAGAGTTGAATTGTTGTCCTGATAGATGGATGAATACAAAGTGGCTGAAATATGGCTGACAACAGGGCTGGTGAATCAGCAAATTCCCAAGCCGTGACTGTCCAGGCTTTTCAAGAACTTTTAGACTCTTTTACTTCAGCTCTGTTGGATACAATTGAAAGGGCTTTTTCAAAAAACAGCTTGGGAAAATATAAGCAGTTGTTAGAGGGACAGCAGGAAATTATTCAGAGGAATTTGTTTTTGGAAGATCAAGAGATGGACAGGATTAAGAGACAGACTGGCACAGTTGAAACAAAGGATTTGGTGGACGTTTCCATTCAAATGACAGAAAAGCAACAAATAGTTTCTTTATTGCAAGCTGACAATCTTTATGGCAACAAATTTTGGCTATATGGACAAAGAAATGGACTGAATGATTATACAAGCAAGAAGAGACGAAATGGGGATTTCAAGTTAGAAAACGCGACCTCAAGAAGAGAGCGAGTATTTCAGAAACATCAACCTCAAATCACCATTTTAAAAGTTTCAAAAATAAAATTGGGGGGACTGTTGAAAGAATTTATAAAAAAAAGGATTGGAAAAAATATAGAAAGAAGAGAAGAACAGAAGATTAAGAAAGATATCTTCCTGTGGATTTTGAAATTGACATCGGGCAAATATGTGTTTTAATGGTATTAAGAGATTTTTAAAATGTTTAACATAAGGTTATATTATTTTAAAAGATATATGAGATAAATTGTATAAGCTTTTAAGATGCCTAACCCTTTGAAGCAAAGAGGATTAATGTTAAATTCAGAATTTTATTGCAAAATGATAATTAGTTTTGGATAGTAAAGGGCTGCTCTCTAAAAAGTTAGAGGTATTAAGACAGTTAATTGAAAATTTGAAAGACATCCTCCTGTAGATTCTGAAACTTATATTTGGTAAATAAGTGTTTCAAAGGTATTAAGAGATTTTTAAAATGCTTAACATAAGACTGTTAAACTCAGAATTTCACTAGGGAGTAATGTTCAAAAAGAATGATGTTCGAGAGTATAGAAATGGAATTTATTCATGATTTTTACTGTTTGTAAGACTGCTAAAGTATCGGATTATACATCAAGTAAAAGTTTTTTTTATATAAGTAGGAAGAATGAATTTAATTTAATTGATTTTGAGAATTTATAAAAGGGAGGTTGATGAATTGGAGCAAAGGGAGTTAAAGAACATGTGGGAGTTTTGAACTTTATAATTTGTTAGTTTATTTTAGCATATGTTTGTTAGATGCTATACCCTGTTTTTGCTCTGGGAAGTCAGGGGGGATGGGGAGGGTGGGATAAGGGATGGGGGGGGAAGTGATGAATAGAGAAACGTTTTAGCAGAAGAAAGTATATTCTATGAGTAGAACACAAGAGTTGCTCAGACACTAAAGGAGGAAAATATTTCACAGCAACGAAGTTAGAAAGGAGAGAGGAGGAGGGGGTAGGAAGAGGAGAGGGAGGGTGAGGAATGGAAGAAAGGAGAGGAGGAAGGGAAGGGAAGGGGACAGGAGTAGGAGTGAAGGCGAGAAGGGGGAAAAGAAGAGAGAAGTGGGGGAAAGGGAAAGGAAGTAGGATGAGGTGGGAGAGGAGGCAGGAGAAAGTAGGAGAGAAGAGGAGGGAGGGGAGGGAAAGAAAGGAGGAGGAGAAGAAGGTTTGTTGTGGAATGAGGGAAGAAAGAGAAGAAGAGCAACTCCGAATGTAATTAGAATGTCTTATTTTAATGCTTTCTTTAAGGGAAACATGTATATGTAGGATTTCTTATGTATAAGAAAATGTACAATTTCTATTATGTGGGGAAGGGGAAAGGGTGGGGGGGGAGAAAATTGTTTGTATTTCTTATAAAACTTTTTAATAATAAAAAAAAGAAAAGATACATATATCTTGAATATCTATGAAAGATACCGATTATGCCTGCTACGCACAATTAGACACGAAACAAACTTGTTATAAAAAAACACAGAACAAATCATTGTAGCTCACAGGAAGTCCTAAATATCTGCTATTACCATAAACAACCAAACATTAAAGTTCTACCAACTTTTGCCCACATCACCGTTTCTCTTATATTGACCATTATCTCTTCTGACTACATCCCACTGAATGCAAGCAAGCAGAATGCAGTCTATACCTGTGTGTCACTCTGTGCAGGAGGCGATGGTAGGGTGTTGGAGGCTGCACTGCTGAAATGGCTCCTTGGAATGGAGACTCTTGAAGGGAGCTGACGATTGGAGTGATCTGATTGCCCAAGAAATAAGAGGGAATACAGTTACAATCAAGATTCAAAATAGCCCTAGTACTCATAGCCCATTCACCTCTTTGAGAAGATCTGATGAAACAAGAATATGCATAGAAATAAACTGAAAAGTGAAGCATGAAAGAGGAAGGGAAGGCACTACATTAGTGTGGCATTACGAACTATATACAGGAAACGGTTTATTCTAAGAAACTCATAAGCATTTAATTCTAGTAATGCGTGTTGCATCAGGCATCCCTTTGAAATTGGTTTTTCTATCCTAAAACAGATGTTCTAGAAGGAAGTAGAAGGCGATTTAATAAGTACTCATGAAGTTCCCACTTTCATTTGAAAGAAGACAGTTTCAAGACTGCCATACCAAGTTTTAAAGCGGATGAAACTTCATAAGTATCTTTACACTGGGTGTGCATATGAAACTTTTAGGGAATTCAGTGACTCCCTTGACTAATTTTTTATCGTTTACAGAAATACAATTTGGGAGAGGAGGGAGAATAGCATCCAAACTTTATTCAAGATCCCAAGCTGATTTTCCTGGTGACAAATTTTGGTTGCTTTTGCCTATAGGCTTTACTATTCTCCACTGCAGAGCACTGTTCTGCTCATTGGGAGCTTGCTATACCTAGAAGCTTCTAATGCCAAAGCCAACAAAACAATTTCCTCCTGTTATTAATTAATCATCTTAAATACTATCAGAATGATCTCTCTCCTTCTCCCACCTTCCCTCTCCTCACTGACCATATTAATACCAAACCAAATAAACTTGGTGAAAGATCAGGGTTTTCACCTCTGGCAAGGAGGATTATACTTCTTACTTATAGGCCAGACACATCTCCCATTGAAATAAGTCCATCTGACTCTATCTTGGGGAGAGAATTTCCTATTTTTTCAGCCAGGAAAAATTAATAATAGCTTTTTGCAACCAAAGACCCTTCAGAGGTATTCAAACTAAAGTCCCAGAATTCCCAGACAGCACAAATACTATCAAGTTTAGAGAAATTGTCAAAGGACCAAACCACAAAGTACATGTGGAACTTTGGAACCTGGTACCATCTTTGCCTCATTTTTTTTCAATAAAATTTTCAACTTCTTCACTTCCAGGAAAGAGGAGGAAGAAAGAGGGGATTAACCATATTCATCCCCCCCCCCCATGAAATGGTTTTCCCTCAGGATTTCAAACAATCATTTCTATGTGAACTTTTAAAAACAGCAGAGAAGGTAGGAAATAGGGCAATTTATGTGAAATTCAGCTTCCCTAGAAACTCTGTATCACTTATGTGGATTATTGCAACAACAATTGGGAAGCCTACACTTTCCAGAAATGATTTGACAAATTCCCTGACTTTTACAAAGGCTGTCTCTACAATGAGTAAACATACTGAATCATAGACAGTCTTCCTACATTATCTTTTAAAGACAGAACTGGGTAATCGGGCTTCTCGCACTAGTTAAAATGTACACAAGATGAGTGGGAAGTTGAAAGACACAGTAATAGCAAACAAAAAGTGATAAATTTTTACAAAAGTGATGATTCAAAAATGTACATTAGCAATTTTTCACCATACATATTTTGAAAATTACAATTGCTATGTAATAAAATAAGGTAGCCTTCTAAGCAACAAGATACTGTGTTATTTATTAATCTCTTATTTTAATCTGTAGTTTATTTTACCTTCCATAGGGTAGTTCAGTAATCCAGTCAACACCAAATCCCAAACGATATAAAATAATTAAAGCCCAGTTAATTTTAGCAATTAAAATTCAAGTATCTCAAACACTAAAGATCTCATAAAAAGGGAGGTCCCTCCTGGGGCTATGCATTCCAAAAAAAGGTGATTTGGAAAGTATGGGGGCTCACCTGTCATACCTATCAACATCTCCTTAAATCAGAAGTGTATTTTCCTACAGATTCTTTGAGGAGTTGCCAACAGATACCATATGAGAGCACCAGAATGTTCTAAATCACTTTTCCTCATCTGAATCTGGATCACTGTGTAAACCTAGTCTTTACTCCCTTGTAAAAGACAGAGAGTGTAAAGTTGCAAGGCTCAAGTACTTATGGGAATACCTGGAGGAGTCCATATATCTCTATTTTGAGTGCTGCAGTGGTTTCCAGGCGCTGGTTGTTAATTTTAAAGCATGTTTCAAGGCTTGGATATCTATGGGACAGATTTCTCATCAGCCTGCTTTGTAAGAGATAGTACAGCAGGTTCCTTATGTTGGCCACTTAATTAGAGACACCATCTAGAAGGGGCCACGTAACACACTTTATTTGCTATATATAACTTCCTCTGAAATAGTATTGCCCTCTCAGACATTCAGATGGTCCCCTTCCTCCTACTGTTCAGGATCTTCTGATCTTCAGAAAGATGGTGAAGAACAAACTATTCTATCAAGCTTTGAGGTCATTGTGACAGTTCCTCTGGATTAGCAAGCATTGTAGTTGTGCTTTTGTAATGCAAATGTTTGATGGTGCACATAATTGTTTATAGTCCATGTTTTTGATTTTGACTATTATGTGTTATTTTAACTCAAATTAAGGATTTGGGGAGTTCTATACTGCTGAGAGTTTGTTCACCGGAGTGGCCTATAAAGCAAGAGACCAGACGAACAAACGAATGAATACAGCTACCAAGAAGCGCATTCCAAAACTTGGGAACAAGGCAAAGAATTATCTTCTTCACCGACTCCACATTTGATAATGTAAATGAGGAAATTGAAAAGTTCAAATGTAATTATTACAAAGCTCTCCGGATTGAGCAAATTCAATCTAAATGTTTGAGAAGAGTTATTTCCCAGACTGAGTAAATCCATATTCTGTCAGGTTAAACAAGGAGCAGTAAAAAATTTTCCCATGTCAAAGTTCAAAACTTCTACATAGCCTTTGCCTTACCATCTCACCAGTGGGAAGCTCATGAATTTGTTCTTATTTCCATTTAAAAATGTAGATTGTAAAGTCTTAAAAAATGTATCACCATTTAAAAACAATCTACACCAATAGAAACAACCAAATCACTGAAAAAGAGAGACTTATTAATAGCCACTTATTTGGAACAAACAGACACGAAATGAACAAACTATGAAAATGTCTGCAAAGAGGTCTGGTACAGATGAGCTTACGGTATGTTCCCTCCTGGCTCACTGCTCTTGTACCAGGAGCAGCTTAAATAGACAAGCTGGGTTATAAAAGCTTATGGACTAGTAGGTACTTGAGAATATAGGTGGAAGACAATTTCAAGTAGAAAACTAAAGATAGGAAAAATATTTGGAGCGTAGCTTTTGGAATTCTTTTCAACCCATTAATAGCAACTCCACTCAGGATAAACAAAAATCGGAAGAAGGAAGAGCAGGGATTAACAAAGGAGCAATTGGCAGCCTCTGAGCGGTTTCTCATTTATCTTTCTTATAGGGATGCATTATGTTTTTTTTAATTCTAGATTTCTATTTCTCCACAGTGACTAGACTAATCTGCCCATTTTTTAACTCTCTTGTTTTTAACCAGTTTCTACCACCACACAAAATTTGGACCCATTCTGCTCTGTGTTACTCTGCTGACCGATTAGAGTCCCAAACACCTTTACTTTATTTCTTTCCAACATTCTGATGGGTTGGAAAGTATAAAACCCTATTAGTCTTTTTAGAGTTTGCATACTATTTTTTTTTAAAAAACAAATCACTCCAGGCAATTCAAAGGAGCAAATACAAAAATTAAAAAAAACAAATTTTAAACATGTACCTAAGCAAATATAATCAAAAGTAAATATACTGACATTTCAGATTCATTCAAGAATGGAAGCTATTAAACATTTTATGCAGTGTAAACCTGAGCCACAACAATAAAACCTCATATAAAATCTGTTCGGGTGCAGACGGGGGGGGGGGGGGGGTGTTATTCTCTCAGAGATGTAGGGCATCAATCAAGAACTCAGAGCAGGAAGTGGGGGGAGGAATTGGCTATGATCATCTGAGACATTCTGACATTGTTCAGAGATGCTGTTCTATAAAACCTGGTTGCAAGGCTTCTTTGTTAGTATGTGCTCTAACAGTTGAGCTGTTGCTAGTCTAACAAACTCCCTGCCGCATAAGACACTTTATCAAAATAGTTTTACCATGTTTTTCTAATAAAAATTCTAAATGTGCCAAACCACATCTGGCTACAATGCCAGAAGTAAAGCTGAAAAAGTGAGGAAAATTTTACATCTTCACTTTTTGCTAAAGTTTAAAGTAGAAAGTAAAAATGCATGCTTGGGCTCATCATCCTTTCTGAGACCACACTACAGATAAAAACTGCATTGTTACAGTTGTTTCTGTGACAAGAATTGTAGATGGGGAGAGGAATGAGAATTGCTGGCCTTATGAAATCTTTCAAATCTATATTGCATTGTCAAACCCTTAGTCATAAAACCTCAATATATTCATGCACTCTCCTTTCAGTTACTTTTCATAACTGCAAAAAGAGAACATTGCTGAAGAAGAATCACAGAAAAATCTGCAAGAAAAATCACAGAGAATGGCAAGAAGAATGATCAAAAGGATTGAAATAACCTCTTTAGGAGGAACAGATCATCTGCAAAATCACGGGGGGGGGGGGGAAGGGAGATTATTTTAAAAGTACAATTACTTTCTATCTGGTACAAGAATTTGGAATCATAACTGACATGTTCAGAAATAACAAGGAACTTCCTGCTACACCAATGTGTAATATTATTGGTTTATATTAACTTTCTAAAAGTTAATATAACTTTTAATATAACTTGATCAAGATTAGACTTGTTGTCATCTGTAAAGCAAATTAGAATCCAGTTATTCAACTGTTAATAAATTTCTATATGCTAGATTCTTGTTCCACTTTCTTCTCATGTACTCTGAAATTTTATCAGGCACATCTTTATAATTTTAAAAGATAGTAACCTAGAGCAATTTTAGGCAGTTGAATTTTGTGACCAGTGTCAATTTCTGCACTGCATAATCAGTGTTTAGAATATCTGCAGTCTTGCTGAGAAGACTCTGAGTAGGTGAAACTTGTGCTCCATTGTTCCAAGCCCAAATGCTTTTGAGTTTTATGAAATGAGGGTTTCATGAAATGGAAAACATTTCATGCTTCAAATATCTGAGGAAAGTTGTCCCTGAACAACCCCATTGGACAGGAAAACAAATTATACTTTTGTTCCTACACATTTCAGGAGCAATGGCAAACATACAGCTTGTACCTGGTTCAGGTGGGGAGGGTTTTTGGTGGGGTTCCCATGTTTTTGTACTGATCTTGCAGCTGCCTCTGCCACCTGGGTCTGGAGCAGGTGGGGGTTTAGGAGAAGTAGAAGGCTTTTGAGAAGACACTGGCCTGGCCTTCTGGGGACATGGCAACAGACATCCTGTAAGAAGAAGAATGGAGAAAAAAGAATTAAATACTAGTTCATATACAACTTTGGTTGCTGTAGTTCTGTACTCAACTATTATGTTTTGTAAACTATGTATCATATTTTTGAATGTTATCCAAGCCCAATGATTAGCTGCTTAAACAACAATTAATTAAACAATAGTTTAGCAATCATGCAAATTAGCTTTTTATAATGATACTTGCAACAAATAATTCACATTAGTTCTAATGGGCAGGAGAAGTTATTGCTCTTAAGAATCCACTTGTCTACAGAAAGCCAAATCCCTCTTACAGCCAGTTAGCAGATTCTAGAGGATTCTAGAGAATTGGCAACAATCAGGATGAACAGTAGAGTGACTTGGACCAGTAAAGAAAAGGCCATGGCCATTTGCAGCATTAGCTTCCTGTCACCTTTAGCTAAGGAACTGTATTTCTAGATTGCCTTGAAAGTTAGAGATGTTATGTATAGAAATGTTAAATGGCTTTCTTTTTTCTACTGACCTGCTCACTTCAATAGATTGTAACTTAAAAATGCTGCACACATAGCTTTGTGCAAATGTTGTGTGCAGAAGTTTATATTTTAAGACCAACTTAGAACTTTAGCACAAGAGCTCTGGAAAACAATAGGTTATGTGAATATAGCATAAGATAAAATTAACAAGCAATTTGGGGATCATAAAATCTAAGTTAGTTGTTTCAGAACAGGTTTATGTCTATCGTCATTGCTGGAAACATTCTGTGATATTATTTGTGAAGAAAGTAATAGAAGCATTCTAGATTCTACGTTTATATGGACATGCAGCATCTATGATGAACATATGACATTATCATATGGCAATACAACACTAACCAACACTGAAAAGCCATCCAGACTCACTCATATGTGTTTTATCTAAGCCTGTTTATTGAGGCAAGAGTCACCCTGCTGGCTTTCATAGCTAAGGTGGGACTTGAACTCACAGTTGTCTGCTTTCTAACCTGGTGCCTTAATCACAAGCTGCCTACAGTCATCTTGGAGGAATGGGCAGCATACAAGTTTGATTGATAAATAAAATGAAAAAATAAAATAAACCACTAGGCCAAACTGGTTCTGTGAAACCAGGGCGGCATATAAATCAAAATTTATTGAGGACCCAGTTTGTGGGGGCAATAAGCTGACTTTGTATAAATATACAAAAGTATGAAGGCTATTGCTTAATGCATTGTAAGCCACCCTGAGTCTCCAGAGAAGGGCGGCATATAAATCAAATTTTAAAAAAATAATAATAAAAAATTACTTGGGTAGATCCCTTTAATTCCTCCAGAGCTACCAACTTCATCTAAACTGAAGGAGGCAGGAGGGAATCACCTGAAACAATGATATCACGTGCCCGGTATAGTTGCAAGTCATCGAGTATCTGAATTAAATCATCAACGTAGGCGTTGCGATTCATCCAGGTCCACATAAGATTGTGCGTCCGCCCATCCATCTTCTCATACAGTCGCAATTCAACCTGGTTTCGTACAATCCTGGAAGCTAGTGTGTAAGAGAGAAAGGCCAGTTACCAACCACACATTTACTATCAAGGGTGTAACCTCATAATTAGCCTCATATATAACAGGCTTGACTATTGTGCGAGAGTCTAGACTGAATGCTGATAAATTACTATTGATATACTAGACAACCCAGATATATTATTTCAGATATATTTCCTTCTATAAATAGAGAAACAGAATGATCGGGGAGGTAGGTGGGGCAAAAAAATAGTGGGAGCAGGAGCAACTTCCAACTTCCTGCTGGCTTCCCCACTGAGTTTCCTTGTGGGAATCTGGTAGAGAGCAATGGAAAGCTTCTTCCCTTCTATTTGTAGGAGGCAGGTAAGTAGCTGCTGCTGAGTAGAGGAAGGGGCAAGGGATCCAGACTGGCTGGGAACACAGCATTCACACAATGTTGGAAATGAAAATCATTCCCACCAGCAGCCAGTAGCACTGAAGCAGCCACAACTTCCCCAAATTTCATTCCTAGAAGCCAGGTTTATAATGTAAGTTAGCCTGTTTGAGGTACCTTGGTTCAAAAGTTGTTCCTCTATAATACTCAATTTCACCCAGTTAAAGATCATATGAGAATTTTAGTAGTATATAGATTCAATTATCTTGTAAACAATAACAATATCCATTTATATCTTGCATCCCCTCTTTAGCTCTCTTTCCAATTCTAAGTGGATAATTGCTACAATCGGATTTTTTGATCCAAACCAAAGAGTCAATTAATGTTTCAGGAACCTCAAATATCTGGCCAGTAACACACTTCCCAATTCACACTGGTTGGAAAGTTACCAGATCTGGGAAGGCTGACATAGGCAAAATGTTTCTATGCTATAGGATCTGAACACAAATATAGGAACTATCTCATATAACACCAAATTACTTATCCATTTATTTTTGCCTTACCTATTTTGATTCATGCTAGCTTAAGGAGTTTCTCTTTCTTATGTGTTCACTTTTCTTTTAATAGAGATGTTAAGAACTCAATTTAAGAGTACTGTAGATTAAATTATGTTCTTCCTTTGCATATTTTACAAAGTAAGGCCCAAGCAACTTTTAATCAGCAGCTGTGACAGACAAGAAATGAGAAAGAAAACTGAAAGAATCATTTGCTTGCCTCTGACTAAACTGAAGTGAATTAATACAGCTGGCATTCAGCTCTTGGTTCATTTCAACATCAGATCTGCATTCATCTTTGGTTGATAAACACCTATCTGTTCAAGGAATTTAATAAACACTATTCAGTTTTTTCCTGTCTTGAATATGTCCAGGATCTGCCTGGTATTGCTGTTTTTGGTAACAAGCACATGGCCAGTAACATTAACTAACATACAGGAACTAAAATTGATATTAGATAAAAATGAACTGCCAAACCAGATGTTCTTATGGTTCTATACTCCATTTTTACCATTCCCATCTTATCAAGTTAACATCACAAATGTGTGTTTCATATTTCTATACCACCAATCTCCCTCCTGAGTTGTAATAAAAATAATGGGCACATGACGTAGATTGTTCCTGATAGGCTCTTTTCTCCCATTGGCATTAAAGGGGAAGCTGGCATCTTTACAATTTCTCCCTTATCCCATTGGCATTCCAGGGGGTAAAAAGAGAGTAGCAGTTGCCCAGTGCTGTATCTGAATGTGTATCCAGAAAAATATCAAAGGTAAGTTGTGACAAAGAACATCATGTGAGACGGGGAGATAGTTGAGAACCTCACTTGTTTGACTAAGAGAGCATTTTGTGAGTTACCACACTTATTTCAACCGCCACCTTTTTTTTTGTAAAGAATTTTTTATTTTTTTTCCAACATAAACATAAAAAATATTTTTTTTTCAAGAACGAAGTCTTGGTCCGGTCACAAATGGGTACACTAATTTAACAAATGAAAAACAAACAATTTTAACATAAATTCCAACATCTTAATAAATTTTTCTATTATCTCATCATACATCCTAACCTCCTACTAAGGCAAAACTTCTTTTTATATTCAATTATAAATTCAATTATAAATCAAAATTCAATACCACTTTATCTAAATTTTTTATCCCTTGCTCCTTTTAGCATCAACATTAAACACAAAGACAATCAATTCTATTAATCTATATATTTACCTTACAATTTTGTCACCACAAATCTTAATTTCCAAGTGTATACAATTCAATTATTTCAATTTTAATCAAAATTTCTTTCTATTTTTCTCGTTTCTAAACCCAATCTATCCTATCATGTTCTTAAACTTTTACACAGAAATCTCAAAATTTACCATTTCATTTTAATTATCACCCAACGTTTTCTTTTTCACCCCTTATTAATAATTATTCTTCAATATATTCTCCTCATTCTCCTCCATTACTCCCAGGGCTGTGGAGTCGGGAGATAAATGTTCCGACTCCGACTCCTCGGTTTTTTTTACTTCCGACTCCGACTCCGACTCCAGGTACCCAAAATTCCTCCGACTCCGACTCCTCGACTCGGACTCCACAGCACTGATTACTCCACCTATTATTTGGCTGATTTCCAGCATAGCATATTTTGGCTGAGTTTACAGCATACTATCCTCAACTCCCCCTTTTATTTGGCTGATTCCAGCATTTTCCATTGTTTTGGCTGATTTCCAGCATATTTTGTTTTGGCTGATTAACAGCATTCTCCTCCTTAACTCCACCTATTATTTGGCTGATTTCCAGCATTTCATTATTTGGCTGATTTCTCAGCATATTCTCCTCCATTAACTCCAACTTCTATTTTACTAACTTATTAAAAATTTCTTTTTCCATATGTTATCTATTAATCCACTATTTCCAACTGTACTCTTCCAGGTGTTCCCCCATTTGTTTGTTAATATTAATCATTCCCAACATATATTAAACGCAATCACAATTCTAACTTCCATCTGTGTACCTTAATACATCATCAAAAATCATTAACATTTAATTATAATTATCATCCACACTTTGTTATCAAATTAAAACTAAGCATGTTACAACAAGTCATGCTTTTATGAACATATCACTTTTTGTCACCTTATCTTCCCATTTCTATTTTTATAATATTTCTATCTTTGTTTACCATAAACACTTGTTTTTATTTAAAGCTCATTTAAATGTTGAAGCATTTAAACAATTAAACATTCAAACATTGCTATTCAATTTATCTATTTTGCTTTTTCTTTTCCTTATCTGTCCATATACATTTCAATTCAAAGTCAATACTTCCATGCTTAAAACTCTGCATATCCTTTTGATTCCATTATAAAGTCTGTTTCAACTTTATTTCAACAGCCACTTTTGATATCATCAACTTTGTGCTCTCAACATTTCATAAGTGCCCAGGGGCCTAACAAGATTGTTTTATTTCCTAAAGAACTCCATCCTGGAATTAAAATTTATACTTTTATTGTGGGCATTCTCTCAGCCCCCACATTTTTTGGGTCATTTTATTTTAGCTACATTTAAGATTAATCAATTGATTAGCCAATCAAATTTTAGTTTTAAAGCTTGGAGTATAGCTGCCATTTGCCCAAAGTACAGTCATCTTTGCACCAACAGGGAAGACAAATTGCACAGCTTGCATTTGGAAGCACTGACTTATTCAACTGTTATCGCAACCCAAATGCCACTGGTTATCAGAAGTGACCATAACTGGTTGGGGGTTTTTAACATATGAAACTGAGAAGGGTTTCCTGTCAAAACCATAGGATGTTTTTACACAAAATTTGAATATGTATAGAAGGGAAAGAGAGAGATAAAATCTATCTTGGAGCGGAGGGCAATTTGGTAGCGCTGTACGTGCCTGATGGTTTACTGTCTGCTCTTCAGTTATGATTTTTAAAGTAATCTTTACTCTGAGATCATTTCAGCCATTCTTAGCTCTTCAAGCAATTGCATCTCCCTTTTTCTGGAGGATGGATGGAAATAAATTTTCCCCCTGTCAATCCTTCCCTCATTATAATTTTTAGTCCACATTTTAAATCCTCAAATTAAGTTTTAGAAAGTCCTATCACTACCCCGTATGATACAGTATATTATTTCTGTTTCAGGGCTGCCAAAAGAAATAAGCCAATATGACTTCTGGCTAGACGAGAACCCATTTTGAGCTGTACCTCAGAGCCTCACAGTGACGGAAGTTATAATCTTCGGAAAATATTACACCATTCTTCATTTGCTGAGATCATGGTCCTAAGGATATCAGTGTGCCACTGGATTAGACTACATGGCCACTACATTTAGCATCTTACTTCAAACATGGCTAGCCATTTGCTCTAGAAAGCGCCCAAACAGAATGTGTATGTAACATAACATGCTAGTTCCATTTAGATCTAACTTCTTTTAAAACCATTTTATATCTTGGAATCGCAGACTCCATAAATTTCCTATTTACTGTGAGAACAACTATTTTTTTGTCTGTTCTTGCTCCACTATATTTGGAGTGAAATTTTGCTTCTACTGGTAAACAAAAACAACAACAACAATTTTTTCTTTATCCTTTCCCATGATACTATTGATATGTATAGATATTCTCTTCTATGGATAAATACATAAAATTGGATATAAGACATGTATATATAAGAATTGAACTGTACTTCTGCTTAACTCTCTTCAGCCAGATTTTTGGCTACTTTTTTGGCAGGTTTTTTCTTATTTGAAACACTTAACTCAATACTTCTGTTGTTCCATTTAACCCATAAATATTTACTGAAAGGAAGAAACAAGAAAAGGCACAATCTGATGTATGAGAATTGGTAAGAGAAAGAAATAGGTCATCTTCTATGTAAGGCACTGAGAGACGTTAGTTTTGGTTCCAATGGCAAAGAAATGTGTTTAACAAATAAACAAACTGAAGGAATTTTTTTTAAAAAAGAAGCCCTGGCTACAAAAGCAACACACAAGAGACACAGCATTTGAGAGGGGGAATCCACCTAAATGGATCCAGTGGTTCGGGGCAGATGGCTTAATGGTGTTCAGGTAAGGTACCTTACAGCAGAGATCCACCCACTCGAACCAAGCACGTCCATAGCCCAACAGAGTGGGTACAAACCTAGATTTAAAGACAGGTAGGGGTCCATGGGAAAGATATAAGCGAGCCCAGGAATTTACCTGTGGTTAAAAAGGCAAAAGCCCCATAAGACACCAGAAGACGGGGCAGCAGAGGCCAAGCCCATATTCTGCCTACACTCTACCATATGCGCTTGCCCTTCCGCTTTACCCAAGGGACCCTTTCCCCTTCTCCTGGCTGGCCAGCAACCTCAAGCCCCTCTCGCTCCCCCTCCCCCCCACGGCCACTTACCGAAACGCTCCCACTCGGCCCGGTCCAGCGCGTCCATGATTTCGTAGAACTTGCACATGACCGCGGGAGGCAAATCGTAAAGGAGCCGGGTCGATCCAGAACCGGCCATAACCCCCTGGTCTTCGCTATGACTACCGCCCTCCACCGCCCAGGCCAGGCCATAGGAGAGGCTGGACAAGGGGGAGGGGGGAAAAAAGAAAGAAAAAGGGGGGGGTGAGGAAAGAAAAGGGGCTACTTCCCCTTTAAATAGCACTCAGTAAGAGGAAGAAAAGGGTCGTTTCGGCAGGCACCCACTCATCCTCCTGCGCATGTGCCAATGGCAACGTGCATCTTCTCTCCAGGCGCGCCACTGTCATACGCAGAGCAGCCATCTTGGACGTGGCGGCCGTCTTTGGACGTATCAGTTTGGGAGTCCCTCTTTTTAATGCACTCCCTCCTCCCCCCCCCCCGCTCCGAGTAGGGGATGTAATGTTTAAGGGTTTTACTTACGATATAGGCTTGACTGTCGTGGCTTTCGACGGCAGGGTCAAGGATGTGAAGCCGCCACACACACACCCCGCCCCATTGCTGCGCTATCACACACTTGGGGACACCGGGGAGCGGCGTTGTGCATAGGTTGCTCAGACGTTGCAGGTCGTTCCTAGAGGTGAGGCTTATACGAATCGAAGCGTGCAAGGCGACGAGTTCTGTCTGCCTTTATTTGGGAGTAAACTCCATTCGACTTAAATGTACCCGCTGAATACGGGTAGCATGGAGTTACACAAAACAACCTCTTTTTATCTTTTTGTTTGCTGCTGCAGCAGAGCGCATGGGCCTGAAATGTACCCAGATGGACAGCGGAGTAAGTGAAAAATCGAGGCTTGAGAAGGGCAGCCGAACCAGATAGTTTTGTCAAGATGACAATTCAAATTAATTTTTCACATGCCTGATGAAGCCCAGATAACACAATGCCACTCAAGGAACTTCTGTTATCCTATTCATTCAAGTATATTAAAGCACTTTTCTGTCCTTGATGTATGCTTGCTTGATTGCAAATTCCAGATTTGAGTCCAGATGGTAGGATTCCATATTCTTAGGAAATCTCCTTTAAGTCATTACTCAGATGCCCCTATACCATTCGGTGGAGCAGAATAATTCTGAACAGTAGAACTGCATAATTGGAAGAAAATTTCAGGAAACATATATACCCATAAGCATCAATGAACTCAATTGATCTTTGAAACAGATGTGCATTGAATTTTTTTTACTTAATTTATTTTGATAGAAAATACACTGCTGATTTGTTCATTCTGATATAAATTATTCCTGCTCGAATCATGGCAAGTCCAATATTAGGATTACAGATTTTTTTCTGCAATTCCTTATAGTAGCCCTATTTAAGCAATTAGGCATAAGCTGCTAGTTTAGGTAATAAATTCTGATTGTTATTCATGGTTGTCCACTATTCGAAGAAAAAGGTGCCGTTTGGGTGTTCCCTGATAAATAGATTGTAAAAACTCCTTTGTTACGATCCTGTAATCCCTTAATTTGAGAGAGTTGGGGCGACTGAATGGACATAGCAGATATTTTTTCTTTGCATTCTAGTAAAGAAACATCTCTAGCTACCTAGGATTGAACCCTCAACTTTCCGAGTGGGAGGCAAGCACTAGGCCCCCACACTGCTCTATAAACAGATGGCAAAACTTATTTTAATACAAATGCAGATAGCCCTCGACTTACAATCACAATTGAGCCCAAAATTTATGTTGCTAAGTGAACATTTGTTAAGTGATTTTTGCCTCATTTTACAACTTTTCCATAATTAAGTGAATCACTGCAGTTGTTAAATTAGTAACAGGGTTGTTAAGTGAATCTGGTTTGCCCATTGCCTTTGCTTGTCAGATTGCAAAAGGTGATCACTTCAGTGCAACCATCATAAATATGAGTCAGTTGTCAAGCATCTGAATTATGATCACGTGACCATGGGGATGCTGCAACGGTCGTAAGTGTGAAAAATGACCCTGTCACTTTTTTCAGTGCCATAACTTCAAACAGTTGCTAAATGAACTATTATAAATTGAGGACTATCTGTACTGATTCTGTGGAAAATATAATATGTTTGTACACTACTTCTAAATCCAGTTTGGTGGTTCCTGCCAAGGACTTTTGAGACTGAAATATGACTCCTATTTCAGCTCACTGCACCAGCTCCTTGAATATCAATATGGCAAGAATGGCTATCTGCTTTCTGTATATGGGTACTAACAGCATTTTCTCTCTGCTTGGTACAGGAGACATCTCTCATTTTTTAAAGTATACATTACTGTATCATAGTTAAAATATTTTCTAAAAGGAACTTACTATTTTTCCTATAACATATGAGATTTGTCCCTAGCTAAGACTGGGACAGTTGCTTAGCTGAAATATCTATCATAGGATGTAAAACTCAGTTATGTGATAGCTTACCTTTTTATTAGTTCATAATTTCTTATCACACCAATCTTCCAGATGGCAATGTTTTATAATCCTAAACAGAATCAAGCCGTATTCAGGACAAGAAATAAAAAGGGTAAAACAAGTTTCATTGTAGCAGAAATTGAAGATTTCTGGTGAAAATGAATTAGTCTTCCAAATAATATATAGAGTAAAAAAGTATGCAATCTTCAGTGACATGAAGACACATCCACATTTGACTTGGGTGAAACAAATTATGGAAAAGCCAGGGTCCCCCTTCCCACAGGTTTTGGACCAGTTTTCAGTGGGGAAGGAAAGTCAGTTCTGGAAATTTATAATGTTCATCCAAAGAACCATATTTCTAGATACTACCGTATAATATTGCTGTCTGTGATCAAAACTTTTGGATGAATAGCAAACTATATATCTAAGGATATCTGTTTATAATGAGAGAAAAGAAAGTATGATCTTCCCTATGGTAGCTCTTGGGGTGGGGGTGGGGAAGGCATGAAGTCCCAAACAATGAAAGTGAGTTGCAATGATCTCAGGGACAGTTCTGAGAGTCTGGAGGTGTTAATGGGGGTGTTCCAGGTTCTTTAAGCTGGAAGTGTTTCAGGGGCAGCCTTTCTCTACCCATGAATCCTGGATGGATTGGATTGGATGGATGAGGCTTAGGACCTGGGTACTTGCGGGACCACCTACTACCACCAATAGCCTCCCACCGGCCGGTACGCTCCCATAGAGAGGGGCTCCTCCGGGTGCCGTCGGCCAAACAATGTCGACTGGCGGCCCCCAGGGGGAGAGGCCTTCTCTGTGGGGGCACCTACTATCTGGAACGAGCTCCCCCCAGAGATACGGAGGATCCCGGATCTGCGCACCTTCCGCCGCGCTTTAAAGACCTTATTATTTCACCAGGCGGGCCTGGCCTAATTTTCTCCCTCTTTCATAAAAGATTTTTAATTTTTAAATATCTTTTAGTATTTTATACATTCAATTTTAAAATTGGTTTTAAATAGTTCGGGGTTTTAAATTTGTCGGAGCCAAAATTATTTCATTTGATTTTATTCTACTTTTAAATTTTGTATGGATGTGTTTTATTGTTTGGCTGTGCACCGCCCTGAGTCCTTCGGGAGTAGGGCGGTATAGAAATCGAATAAAATAAATAAAATAAATGAGTGAAAAGTGATAACAATGCTGCCTCCTAGGAATCAGTGGGGATGTTTAATGATTTACAGGGGAATGGTCTTGGTGGTTATTGATTCAGTAGATGGGATATTATCACTGGCTTTTGTGATCAGGGTGGCCTGTAATAAAAATGTTGCTTATATCTGTCCAGATTGTGATAGGGAATATAGCCAAAAAGGCATATACAATGCAGAGGGAGTATGACAGATAAGGCCAGTAGTCCACTCTGCACAAGCAAGATCCTGATAGCTATCAGATCTTGGAAAAATATATTGTCCAAGCAATGTTGATGAGTTTGATATGGAGTTTCTGATGTTCTGAAAATATATGAAGATGGCAAGAAAAGATGATCAGGTTTGATACGAAGCAGAAGCTTGATACCTAAGTAGCCTACTAGATTCTGGAGAAAGCCGTGTTTGAAAGTAGCCAGTGGATTTCTACTTAGATTTGGAATCTCTCCCTAGCTAATCATCTCTGTCATCAGATTCAGAAACTGAGAAGTGGTAGCAGGAGCAATTCCACTGGTATTAAGGTTTGCATTCCCACTACAAAATCTTGCATCTGAATTTCAGATATTACTAATGAATTGGCTGGCATATTTGAACTAGGTGTATTTTCTCAATCTTTTTCCTTTTTTTCCCCTTGGGTGCGTCTGCAGGAGCATCTAAGTTCCACTTTGACATCCATCTAGTTTTTCCAATCCATCTGCAGATAACTTATTATTTGACTCACATTACATGGCAGTTCCAGGAAAGTCACGCAAGGCTAAATCTAATCTCAGGTACTGTGTTGTTGCTACTTTCATTTGTGATATGTTCACTCCTCAGAACCAGGAAGGAACAAAACTAATTGCATGTGCATCAGTGTTCAGGCAGTTAGCTGCTTTTAGGTCTGCTCCTAGAGCTCATGAGTGCAAAGCTTGTTTTTTCATGAGCCTGTATCATGAAAGCTTGACAAATGGGTAAGATTTTATTATAAGCTCCTTTCTTGGGTACACCAAGAGGCTGGATCATCAGATAAAGATTCCTCTCTCATCATTTCAGTATTTCCAGAACTGGGAATTTCTGGCATTCAAAGCCTTTCAATATCATACATGAAAATGATATACTGTTTGTTTTAAAAATAAATGAAAAAAATTGAATATCAAATAGAAAGAAAACCAAACAAATGCTGGAAAAATCTTAATATTTTTTAAGAAATACAGATAGCACTTTGAAATTGAGCTGAAGAGAAATTGAGGGCATTAGTCAGAGCCGTGCCAAATCCTGTGCAACTTCTGAGGAGTTGCAATTCCTCCTCCTCATTGAAGTGCCACAGATACTCCAATTAGATCTCTCAAAGACTGGATGAAATTTTAGGCCCTTTTCAGAGAGCAAATGTATTAGGATAAGAATGGGAGCAGGCCTCTGGAAAGCATACTGCTATCATTCCCATCCAAAAACTTCCCCTCAAGCTCTAAAAACAGCTGAAATTTGTGGCAGTAAAATTTTGTCACTTTTGTCATTGAATTCTGGCAGTAGGGGATAAATTGTGGGGCTGGCCCCATGTGCATAATAATAATTAAAACCAAGGTGAAGAACTTTTAGTAATGATTTGCACTGAATTTCTGTAAAGGCAGCACAGGAAGAGGCTAACATTAAGAGAAAGGATAACATTTCAAATTTGATGACATTTTCCATGGTTTGGCATTTTGGAACAGTATAGAAAAGAAAGCTCAAAATTGTGCAGTCATAAGGTTACCTGAATTCCTTTTTGGTTCTAATGAAAAATGTTCAGTATGATTTAATAGAGGTGAGTTTGTATTATGTTCTCATAATGAAAAGTATGCTCTCCTTTACTGAATAAACGCAGTTGGTTAACTTTGCATTAATTGTAGATAAGAGCCTTAATATATGAGGTGAGGTCCACACAATATATTAAACCTTCACTGGCAGTAATTTCCTGGTCCCCATGCTCTGTATTGCCATTGGTAAATTTGACCCTAAAGAGCTGATGTAATAATTGGGATTAGCTACTGATAGAGAAATGGAGGAAAGTTACCCAAGCCTCTTTATTTTTTAATTTAACTCCATATTTTTGAGATGAGAAAAGTCAGCTCTAATAATGGAGCTATTGCTTCAGGGGTATTTCCATTTATGCCTGCTCCTAACCTCCACCTCATTTTTGGGGTAGGGAAATGCTTAACAATAGGCTAACCCTTTGTGATAGATTCACAACACATGGAGCCATATTTGACCAGATCAGCCAAAACCAAGAATGGCTACAACTCTTTAATGTTAATATTCTGTCTTAAGAGTCTCAACTATTAGGTAGATACTACACTGCCCAGCTACAGAATAACTTGACATATTTTTTTTGAATACATTGGGCCTTAGATTCCACTGACACGGTATAG